TAAAAATAAAATTCTGTTTATTTTCTGAAATAAATAAATAAAATATATTTTACTAATAATTCTTAACTTCATTAAAGCGTGAAACTGATTAAAAAGCATTAGGAAAAAATACTTTGATGATTTGAAGACGCCTTTTCTTATTTTAATGTTATTTTTACAAATAATTAGTAACTTGTTTGCTGGGGAATTTTATATTCAGAAAGACCATTTTAAGGGCAACTCTCTCTCAACTTAATTAAAACGTCGATATAAAGAAAATAAAAATTTCGTGGCGGTACCTTCATCTTAGTTAATTTTACCAATTCATTGTAATTACGAAGTTGCATTTTTATTTTTCAGGTCACTTCTTGTTTCTAAACGTAAACCCCAATGCTAAACCGCTTCATATAACCAGTCCTGTGTTCACCCCAAGTGGAGACACGTGTAAAGTTCAATTATGGATTTATCAAGAATTAATGACTGGTGGAGTTATCCGTATTGTCGCTGAAAATGCCAACAAAACTCAATGGGTTGTGGAACAAATCCCAGGAGATGATAGCAGGAGGTAATGACGCAATATTGAGGAAAGGAAATTATTTATTTGTATTTTTCCACAACCTTCAGAATCTTTTTGCAACACACTAATATTTAAAGAGAACGAGAGGTCTGTTCATAAATTACGTAACGCAAATTGGGAAGAGGGAGTAGGCCAGCCGAGCATTTAATTCAAGTACAGTAAACGTTCCTTATTCACGGTTTCCTTATTCGCGTTTTTATTATTCGCGGTTGAAAAAATTGCAACCCAGTTTCTGTATTCGCGGCTAAAAATTTCATTATTAAATAGAAAAGGATTCGGTGTCATTTATTAAGGGTATTGACCGCAATAGACGGCTCGTGCCTACTGGGAAAATATGGGTTTCTATTCTAAACATTGTGATTTAACGTTGCGAGATAAATATCTGATTTTTTGTATGGTAACAGACAAAGGTTCACACTAACTCGGCACGTTTTTAGTTTTCAGTAATATGGTCATTAATAGCTTTTACAAGTGCTTAAAGTTGATGCTTCTTGTAGGACACGTATTTTCAACAGAAATTAAGAAAGTACAAAATGGCCCTCGACAAGCTTTAGAATAAAGCTTTATCTATCTTACTACAAAATTTCAAACCTCTGTTCCAAACATTAAACTCATGATATCTGGAACCGATAAGCATGTTTTTACTCAACGGCGCATATACTACTAAATCCCCTTAATGTATCGGCATCTTTTAAGTATGTACGTGCCGATGCAGCTTTTATGAAAGATGTTACCGAGTAAACAGAAAAGGATTCGGTGTTATTTTTCAACGTGTCGGCATCTTTTAGATACTGTTGGCTCGTGCCGAGGTGACTTTTATAAAAGATGTAACTGAATTGACTAATTCAAAATTCAAAACAAGAACAAATCACTAAATTTGACTGACTATAACGATTAATTTTAATTGCGAATTTATCAATACATTGATTTTAATCTGATACATCATCATCATAAGGTCATCAGTCCTAAGACTGGTTGGACACGTACCTCCACTCTTTCCTATCCTGAGCTAAACTTCGCATTTCCCTAAAACTAGAACAACCCACATCCTTAACTATTTGCGAAGAGTAATCTAATCTAGGTCTACCTCTACCCCTCCTAACTCCTGTTTCTGCCTCTAATATGTCTCTGACTAGACCTTCATGCCTAAGAAGGTGTCCTACCAACCTATCTCGCCTATTTTTTATTGACTTCCACAGAATCCTCTGTTCTCCTATTCTTTCTAATACCTCTTCATTTCTAACCTTTTCTACCCACGACATCCTCATCATCCGCCTATAACACCACGTATTCCCTATGATTCCATACTAATTACCTTTCCATATTCACGGTTTCTGTATTTGCGTATGTATATTTATGGAACGTATACCCCGCGAATAAAGAGCTTTTACTGTATAAAACTTTTATGATAGATACGTTAGGCAACGGAGTGAAGAGGGGAAAGGATCGGGCCACGGGTTACGGTTCAATTACGTGGGTGAGGGGGGTTCAGAAATTGATGAATTTTACGTTACGTAATGAATGGACAATCCCTAATCAAATTATCATATTTAAAGCTAACCATAAGTTAAATATGTTCCCGCTGGGGTATCTATATAGATTACCTGTGGCAACTGGATGGCCTTGAAATGTTATTCTGTTATATTTTTGATTATGTTGAGTAAGAATGTACATACATATAACATGCGGAAATAATAAATTACTGCAATAATTTTTTTCAAATCGGTATCAAGGGAAGAATTTAATATTAAACTTACAAGGTCATGAGTACTGATAATATTGATAGTTGTGAAATAAGGGGGGCGTTAAACTTCCTCGGACCATTTGCAACAGTGGATATTTGCAAAATATCAATCTTAAATCATTACAGTTTAGCGAATATATTGATGCTCAAAAAACTATCAGCAACACAACAATGGGAGGAATTTAATATTAGATATAGTTGCAAGGCCATGAGTGTTGATAATAATATCAATCTTGAATCATCATAGTTTTAGCATTTTTGAAGCTCAAAAATATCATTAAGGTCTCATTTCCTTGCTCAACATATCTATAAATTCTTCTTCTGCATGACGAGCTCTATAAAATACTTCATTTTCAAGATCATCAAGTTGGCACAGCCATACTAAATAATTACCCCCGCTGGTTTAAATCATGACTTAAATAGTCAAAATATAACAAAAAATCCTTAGTTTGAAACTTCGTATCAATCGAGATAAAAACATTTTTCCTTTTGAAATGTTTAATATGTTAAGCTAATAAAGGCTTAATTTTGATGGAGAATGTGCAGTTTGAGTTTCTCATTTTGTTTATGTTGTGGAAGGTGGGTAAAACATGACTATGCAGTGGGTGAGATATCGTCAGGCTTCAACATCATCATCGAGGTGGTACCTCCGCCTGTAGATTTTCCGAAGGGGGCTATCGTTGCATTAGATAACATAAAAGTCATGCAATGTTTCCCGGAAACGGATGCTATCAACTCGTGTACACCATTTCAATACCAATGCTACAAGACCAATGTTTGCATCAACCACACAAGAATATGCGACATAACGGAGGATTGTGAAAGTGGAGATGACGAATCACAAAATTGCGGTATGACAGTTTCTTACCAATTTAAATTATAATCAACTAAAAAAGACGCTAAATTAAGTAGATGTGTACCTACTTCAAATTAGTATTGGTGCTAATTCCTAAAAGTTCATAGGACGATAAGCATAGTGAATCGGTCCTAGAGGTATATCTGGATTATATTTTGAGGGTATATTAGTACTAATGAGACACGTTAATCGTAAAAATTTTAGACCTTTTTTTTTGAAAAACGAAAAATCAAAAAATATTCTTTTTCCCAAAAACGGCTTAATCGACTTGAACGAAATTTATACACTTTATAGAGACTTATAAAGGCTTTATTCGGAACGAATAACAGCTCATAATCTTTATAATAATCATTAAAACAGGGGATTTTTTCCGAAATAATTTTTTTTCTTGATGATAACATTCTAGAACATATTGAAATTAATTTGTTTTTGACTTTTCCAATGTAGAATAACCGCTCAAATCGATAAATCGACCAATAAGGTACGCCATATTGAAAAACAATAAAAACAGATTTTTTTATACAAAAATCGATTTATTTCAGTGTTTATACCTTTCAAAAAACAGAAAAGCAGATTATTTGATTGATTTATGACTGCAAACAACATTAAATATCGAAACCAATAATGTAATTTTTTTTTTAAATTATAATATTCAAAAATG